GGTTCAGGCTTTTTGGTGGTGGTGGGTTCAGGCTTTTTGGTGGTGGTGGGTTCAGGCTTTTTGGTGGTGGTGGGTTCAGGCTTTTTGGTGGTGGTGGGTTCAGGCTTTTTGGTGGTGGGTTCAGGCTTTTTGGTGGTGGGTTCAGGCTTTTTGGTGGTAGTGGGGGTGGTTGTAGGTTCCTTGGGGGGGGTGGGAGTAAGAGATTCGGTTGTAGTTTCAGTGGCTTCCAAATCTTTAGATGTTTTCTCTGCACTTCGCGTCTCTTTACCTGAAGTCGTCTTCTCTGATGTACTAACTGAAGACTCTTTAGTTGTTTTAGAAGTCTCTTTAGTTTCAACTGTTGTCTCCTTATTGGCTGTTGTGTCTTTGGATGTTTCAGAATTGGGCGACGGACTGGGTTTAGGGTTGTTAGTTGTCACGGCTGTAACTTTGGAGGTTGTGGTAACTTTGCTGCTTTGGGTGGTGGGCACATTAGGAGCTGTGGTGGGCTTGAGGTCACCGTTGTCCGATCCGCTTCCAGCTTCATCTACAACCGGTGGTTCCGGGGCAGGTTTCTTCTTAGGGGGTTGTTTCTTGTTATCTTTTACTTGAGGGAGAGAAAAAATACATCTTTTATTTTTGAGTAGTTTGCCTTTAACAATGATCTAAAGGTCCCATTCTTATAGCTGTCTCTGGGCAGGTTGCTCACCTCTAATACGTCTATTAATTTACTGTAAAATGTTGAAGACTCAACCTATCTTATTGGGCTATTTTAGGAAATGAGTGAGATAAGGGGAGAAAGCACAAGTAAAACTATACAATTACTACATGGAAACAAGTGGCAAATTTGAAATTACCCACAGGTCAACAACTAATTCATCTCTTCACATTACAGCCCCCTGCCCTGCCCTTTCTCATTGCTCAGTGCCCCTCCCTCCTGGAAACCTAGTTCCCGCTCTTGTAGATTCACTGCACCAGTCAGCTTGAGAGACTTCTACAGCGACCTCCAAGGATGCTCCAGTCACCCCCTCGTCCCTGCTGAGCCCCGTTTCCATACACAGGGCTGTTCACTGTCCTCTTTCCTCTGCCCAGTCCCAGGGTGTATAGAAAAGAGATTAGGGTGCCACAGCAGCAAAAAGACCCCATTTAACAGGATTTGCCATAGCAGCTCCCCCCTGGGTGAACCAACAGAGCCCCACGGGCCCATCACTGAGATGCGCTCCATTTAGCAAACATGTATTAACACTTCCAATGCGTGCAGGACCCTCTGGATGACTCAAAGATTAAATATCTGGCTATTCGGCTAGAGAGAAGGCTTCGGGGGAAATCACAACCCCCAGGAAATAGTTCTTTAAAACTCCAGTATCCAAAATGCAGTACTTCCTGGAGAAAGAGAATATGGTTTAGAATTTTGAGAAATAAGAAGCAGAATAAAAGGCAACCCCTTTTCAGGAGGTAATAGCCTCCTCTGTAGTATGTTCTCTACTACAGAAAAATCAGCCGGGTAGGACACCTAATTTATCAGGAAAACAATAAAGAGGACCTGTAAAACGTGGGCAGCCAAGGATGGCATTTCCCAGAAAGGTGTATGAGAATTTTAATAAATAGACATCTTAAAGCAGCGCATACGTGTCTGTTAAATAAAATAAAAAATCGGGGGAAGGGAAAATGAAAACACGAGGACGTCGGGGGAAGAAGAAGGAGGAAGGAACAGGATGTCAGGGAGGCAGGAACTGGAAGGGAAAACCACGGTCCTCTCCGGCGCCACCCTGTGGTCCCTCGGCTCCTGCTACAGCGGCGCCTTACGCTTCGCTTTGGCCAGCCCCTTAGCTGCTTGGCACTGATTTCCTGTAGGAAGCCGGCATCGGTTTTTTCTAAAATAGCCTCTGTGAAGTTATATACCCGCCCGCCCAGCCCCCAAATACTGAGATGTCCTCAAATCACTCTATCAGCACGCATCACTCTTAGATCACTACTGTCACGGCATTGATAGAGTCTTTGGTCTTTATCAATGCTCAAACCTTTGGGTTTCTTCTTTAATTCTTTATTAGCGGCTGCATTTTTGGAGGACTTGATTTTCCGAATACTTGAAGAGGAAGAAGAAGAGGAGGAGGAGGACTCTTGGTTTTCAGAAACAGAATGTTCTATAAATCAAATAAAAAGGGGATCACACCAATTGTGATTTAGAGAAGAACCACCAGTCCAAACACAACAAGGAATGCTGTTCACTACCTGACAGATGGCTTGTGTCCTGATTTTATTTTATCGGTAACGTAATCCACTGCCCTTCGAATTTAGTTGTCAGCTAAAAGCAAGATGCTTGAGCTCATCACAGATACTAGCAATATAACTACAACTTTCTTGTATCTCACAGTTATTCTGGGGGGAATCATGGTCTTGCTCTTTCAACATCAAAACTTGTCTCTCCTGATTATTTTAACCTAGACACCCATACGGGGTTCAGTAAATAGGGAAAATAAATATCTGAGGGTTTATCGTTTGGCTTAAACTTCTACTTAAAACAAGTAAACGAAAAGCGTAATGAGCCTTTAATGACTCATACAACGGTCCTGTTCTGTGAGGAGCCTTGTATTAACTGTCACCTACAGCTTATTTCATCTAGAAACCTCCTGTGTTGCGTCTGTCATCTTCCTACCTTCTGTTATCTCCTCTGATTCTATAACTTTCTTAGTCGTCTTCTTGTTTGTTGGTTTGGGTGAGCGTTTGGTGGTTGATTTGATGGGTTGACGTGCTCCTGCAGGCGGAGGTGCGGCCTTTGCGGACGGCGGTGGTGTGGGGTTAAGCACTGAGGCCAAGCAAGACAGGTGGGTTAACATCTTTACATTCGTCAGCAACTCTAACTGTGAAAGCAGCGGGTGCATCTGGCTTCTAGAGGAGATGCAGGTGAAAACCAGGGTAGGCAGGCTTTGGCCCAACACTAATTACTCCAAACCAGTGAATTCTGAGGATGCATTGCTATAAAATACCGGTTCTCAAACTGTTGTAAGTCAGGACAGGAAACAAAGGCTCAGGGGTCAGGAGAATTCCAGCCCTTGACCTGCAAGGGAAATGGGCGAATTCGTTCTGAACTTCGTTTTCTTGTTTGCAAACTGAGGTATGTATTCTAGATGATTTCTGGAGGCATTTGTCTGTCTAAAAAATACTTGAGTTTATAAACTCCATCCCTTGTACCTGCCTTCTGTGATTATCAAAATAATGACTGCATTGGGATGCGAAATACAATAATTACATTTTTTGTTTTCATATTATTTTTAAATAAATGATGCCAATTTACCTTCCAGTTATTTTTTTAACCCTGAAATTTCTATATGAAAATTTATTCTTGTAAAACTTCCACAGCTTCGCGTGATGCTTTTCTCAAAACTCATTGCCCTTCCCCAAGCTAAACAGCTGTGAATGGTTTGATATGTTTCTTTTAAACTTTTTGTCACCCCTCGGCCCACCTCTTTTCAAGTCTAGAAGAGAAGACATGTTTTGATCATTAGGAACCAGAAGAAAAGGAGAGGGACTTGTGCAAGAGTGGAAAGCAGAGGACAGTGGGGACGCTCTGGGTCGTGGAGCGTTGTCATAAATCCTGCTGCTCTTACCAAACACCGCAGGACTGGACTGCTGCGGTCTCCCTGAGCGGACCGCTGCTCCTCTCTCGCCCCCCTGCTCCCCCCCAAAAAACGACAAGTACCTCAATTTGAGAAACTGTGCTGCCGTATACTAGCTAGTGATCTTCAGCAAAACACTTAACCTCTTGGCTTTTCTCACCCGCATTCATAGCTCGACTGCTGACTCCTCCGATTCTTGCAATGTGATGACACTGAGATTTAGAGATGCCAACAAGCAGCATCTCTAGCAATCTCCAAGCGACTCAGTGGGGAGTCACAAGATAACTTCGTTGCTATTCTTTAAAAGTGAAGAATTGAAGCTCTGGGTGTTCCTTTATTTTCATCAAATTTTTTCATTGAGTTTTCCATAGACCTCATGAAATCGGATCCACCACGTAGGAGCATAAACCGTTCCCTTTATTAACAGGTTCTCTCAATGCTTCGTCTCTCCAGCCACCCTCACTCCCCACCTATCTTCTGCCCCAAATGCATTCTTAGCTTTCTGTCTCACAGCCAACAGGATTCCCAGGGCCGTGAGTAAATACATCCCGCCCACCATGGGTCCTTCTGAAAGCTGCAGGGACTCCGCTCTGAGGTTTTGATGACCAGGGTGTCATCTCCTTTATTTTTGGAATACTTTCCAATGAAAACACTGAACAGTTAAGAAATGCCCCCCGGCTCTGCTGTTTCACAGCTTTTCACCGCTTCTCCACTGCAGGAGGTAAGGCCTTATTTAAATAAAATGATAAGGTCACGCCAGCAATGCTTATCTTCACTTTCTTACACAAATATTCTTGTTCTAACAAAGCAGGCTTTAAGAAGGAACATTTGCTAAAAGAAAGAAATCCATTGTCTAAATATATTTTAAAATCTCGGCTTTTTGGTAAAATTTAGAGGGTTTTATTACACGCTCAGGGTACTCCTTTGGGACCTATAACCAGAGAAGATTTTAAGGTGAGACTATGCCTTTGTAATGACTATCACGGCGCAGGCCCTGGACACTGTGGAGATGGGAAGAGACAGTTAACAAATTCTTGGAAGGTTTGCTTGTTAATTTAGTGCCTTAAGCTAATTCATAAATTTGCTAATTCAGAGAAGCTGAAAGTGCCGGTTCTCCCCTTAAACACACACTGAAAATCATGACTGAAAGCACAGAGAGCTCAAACGATGGTTGACGCAGTGGGATCCGCACCATTCAGGTGAGACAAGAAATCATCAAGGGAGCTGGTGACTTGATTTCACCTGAAACTGAACCACACCTGAAGGAAAAAGCATTTACACTCAGGCCCCTCCTCTCTGTTACTTAGCCTGCGGTCTCTTGCACTCCTGGAGCCTGGAAGAGGCTTTTGTTATTTAGTTCATGTGGATGAAACAAAATTCGTATGAAGTAGCTCATACGTCAGTGAAATCCAGACCTCGGGGGACTGTGAGCTGGACACTGTCAGGGAAGCTAGGGTGGCGCCCAGCTCTGGCGGCCCCGGGGGCCCCCCGGTGCTGTGGTGCTTTGCTTACCTTCACAGAAATCGTCGTAATCGGAGCAGCACTTGCCATACTTCTTACACTGGGCGTCGCAGTCACACTCCCTCCCTCGTTCAAAGGACTCGAAGCAGCGGCCTTTGCAGGAAAGCTCTACCCAGAGCAAAACAAAGCATTAAGGATTAGTGACGATGCAGCCAACCCGTGGATGGAGAGCCCTTTCCCACCTTCTAGAGCCAACTGGAGCCCCAACGTGCATTTCTAAGTCCTTTACTTAGGAAAATGGGTGGTTTCCCAAATGGAGACAGCCCAAGTCAAGAAAGAAATATGGGGACTTAGGGAAACTGTTCTTGCCCTTCAAGGCTCCAAAGGACAGCACAGTGCCACCTGAGTTATTTACATGTATGGACAATGGAAAACTGGGAAATGTCTCAATAGTGAGTTACCCTTCACATGAAATCCGTCTTTTTTCCTCCCCACACCACTGCTTTGTCATAGATTTTTGTTAATTTACTATTCAGATCCTACAACAATGCATCCCAGATGGGCCAATGTTTCAGCTCAACATTACTGTTAATGCGGAACCTTTATCAGGACCGACCGGGCAGGGTGCAGAGGTGAGATTCCAGCCTCGGCCACCATGGACTGTGTCAGACAGGCCTGCTTATTTCAGAACAAACCTTAGAGCACAATGACGCCAGCAGGCCTCTTTGAATGAATCCCTTTACGCACACATACATTGCACAACGGTATATTTATGAGCTTCACATGCAAATTCTAAAGCAAATGTAACTTTAAAACAACTTTAATTATAATTTTTATAAATTAAATATGACATGTTTCTGTGTTAACAACAAAATGGCCCAAAATACCTACCATTAATTGAAAATTCAGACCCTTTGGGGCTTTTCCCCCTATATGATATATATATAATTTATTTATCTTTATTATTGAGGGTATTACAGATGTCCTCCCTTTTTCCCCCCAAGGCCCTTTGGGTTTTAATTGAAACTCATCATTAAACACTAATGCTTCATCTTTAAAGTGCCATTTTCAGGTAATTTAGAAACATGTTAATTTTTTTTTTTTTTTTTAAATCAAGTAGTAGACAAGGTTATTTTACGTCCATGGATTCTTCTGATGAAACTCCTGAAGGGCCTCGTCACTAAGCAATTACATCTCATTACTATTTACTGAATGCCTCCGGAGTTACGGTGCTAAGTCTCTATTGAAAACAAGACATTTTATTTGGCACTTGTCAAAAACCTCGCACAAGTGGCAGCAGCTCTTCGGGCGCCCCTCCCCCCCGCCAGCGACAGGCCCTGCCGCCATCCCCAGGTAGAGCAGCCAGCGACACTGAGGCAAGTGAAGGGAAAGGCACTTGAGCAGAAAGAGGTGAACGTGTGAACAGGGTGCAGCGAGGGGCTCTCGAGGGCAGCGTCGCTTGACAGAGGAGGCACCAGCTCTGGGGACTTACCCGCAGTGCAGAATCTCTTGAAATCAGGGCAGCACTCCATGTAGTGTTGACAGTTATAATCACAGTTGCAGGGGGTATCTCTAGAATACCCTTCCCCGCATCTCCCTGCACAGCTTGATAAATCTAAAATCATACAATATAGGGTAAACATGGCCAAACCACTTCGCAGGAGGGGAGGGATTCTAACGAGGGCAAAGCCACTCGGTGAGAGAGGATCCTGTCTGTTGGAAAACGTGGTGAGTCAAAGTTAGCGGTAGGTCCGTCCAGGTGACCTTCACCTGATCTTTTACAAGATCCACTTTACTCTTTCCTAGGCTGCGAAGATAAATACCCTTGAGAATCAGTCGAAGTAAGAGCTTTGCGTCCCTCCTGGGCGGGGTTGGCAGCTACAGCTCTACTGTACTAAGAGGATGGCTTGCCTGGCCGGTGTGGCTCAGTGGTTGAGCATCGGCCCATGAACCTAGAGGCTGCTGGTTCAATGCCTGGTCAGGGCACATGCCTGGGTTGGGGGCTCGATCCCCAGTAGGGGACGTGCAGGAGGCGGCCGATCGATGATGTTTCTCATTGATGTTTCTGTCTCTCTTTCCCTTTCTCTTTCTCTCTCTCTAAAAGTTAATAAAAAACATTTTTTAAAAAGGTGATGGCTTACTGCCATTGTTGGAGCATCTTTGTGCTGGGCACTGAGTCCTACATTATCTCTGATGCTTATGAAAATGTTGCCAAGAGAGTATGAGCAGCTTCTCTTTAGAGATAAGAAAGCTGCAACCTTGACATTTTAATAACTCGCTCAGGGCGCCCAGCCAGTGAGTAGGTTCGGGATGCACGTACTGCAGGTAAATGAACGCCTGTGAGTTATTCGTATTGGCCTCTTTCACTCAGGCGTGGCCTGAGTTGGATCCTAACTTACATGGTCATCTTAAGTCAACAGCCCATCTAGAGTTTGAGCTCTGGTGCATCTGATTCTAAACCCTGGGCTTGCCCCACCACAGTGCCTCTCGTTCTTGAAGAAGAGTTGAAAGAAGCTGGCTGTGCCATAAGCTCTCCTAGGCTTCCCTTTCCTTGTGTGGGTGGGCTACCCGGGGTCTTTAAATGTCATGAAAGTCAGATGTTTACAACCACTGCTAAAATGCCTACAAAACTGATAACTCTTAAAATAGCATCTGGACATGAATCTAAAGGTCATGAACAGAGTTGTTCTGGGTAAAACAAAACAAAAGCATAATTATCCCCAAATATATTTTCAAAATCATTTGGAAAACACCTTGAAAACCTCCCTGAGAGAGAAGCACAGAAACATAACGATCGAATCCGTCTCTGGAATGGAAATTGGCAGGTGCAATGTCCTAAATCCATAGAGGGACGTTTGAAACACACTGAAAAAAAATCTCAAAATGATGAGTCCAGGAGAGTGAAGGTCTTAATATGCAAATTAAACAGTAAATTTTAGGAAAACTTTCAGGTTTTTTTGCATACATATGCGCACAATACACACAGAAATGCATATATAGTGTATGTATATGAATACATATATTATATATAAAGAAAAAAAGGCAGTGGGGAGAGGCTGAGTTGGCAAGAAAAGCATATAAGACAGCATCGAAAGGTCATTCCTTTACCGTTAGCAGATTTCTGAAACAGGAAATCAAATGCCTTTACAGAAAAAGTTTATTTTCATAGTTTAAATTAAATGTCTGTCTTGCTGTCCATTTTAGCAACTCATTTTAAATTCATTTACTTAAAGGAGAGTAGAACCGTTAGAAAATGCACCCAGTGCTGGGAACCTTGTGATTTTATTGTGAGAGAGCCGCGGGGCCTGGGGCTACCAGAGCCGTCATAATTCCTTTGGAAATATTTATATTTGCTTCGTGCATTTTCCATCTTATCTAAGCGATTCTGAAACTATGTCCATGGCAGGCAGTTATCTTTCTTGCTCAGATTCCTGAGAATTTCAATTCTTTTATGGAAATGTCTACTTTATAAATGTAATTTCACCACCACAATCATGCACCTGCTACCGAATGACATTCCCACCGGTGTAAGTCCATACCTAGGTGAACAGTCCTTACAAGAAAGAGGCATTTTCAAGATTAATAAAATGCTGTTTCCAACATTGCAAATGTTCCTTGTAACATGATATCTCTATCTACACTAGGCCAAAGGAAGTTATTTATCGATAACTTATGTGATGTAAGAAATTAGTTAAATGTCTTTGTAAACATGTGGATTAAAATTACACACTATTTAAATATTGTTCTTATCAGTTAATCAGATGATGTCGTATCATTCCTTCAATGTCTGTATATTTTTTTTAGCTTTTGGGAGAACCGTGGGGATAATTAATACAAAAATTACTCTATAGGAAAGCTCAAAACTTCTTGAAAGATTTCGTAATACAGGAGACAAAAATGAGAATTCCAAAATGCTCATGGAAGTTAACACGTTTCACATAATTATAAGGTTGTACTCTGCATTGCACTTAAACAAATATACATTGCTAGAAATCTAATTTCTTTTGTCATAAGAGTTAGACCTGAATGATTAGCAGTAGTTGTGAAATAAAACGATTTGTGATATTTAAGATACCTTGAGAAGACACTTGCTGGATCAAGAGAACAGAAAGCAGCAGCAGCAAGTAAATGGGAAGAATTTTCCACTCCATGGCAGTCCCTGGAAAGAAAAGAAAAGCATCTTTTTAATCTACCTCTTTAATCTCCCCACTAGCTTATGTCTGTGCTGCAGATAGTGTTTCAGTAACTTTTAAAATGCAATTTAAAGATAAAACCATCCCATTCTTGAAACAAGACTTTCTGAAGTAATCAGCTTTAATTCTATAGTAAGTATTTTGACCGTTGGATTGAATCTTCTGCAGAGGAAATCAAGTCACCATCTCCATCATATAATTGGACATTTTAATTCTTTAGCACTCCCCCCACTAGAATACAAACTCATCTTAAAACTCCCTTCCAATGAAAACAGGTACTTACAGTGCAAGGTTTAAATCCTATCTTGAGGGGAAAAATAACCAGCTTCAGTAAAATTTAATTTAATAAACACAGGAGTTATTGTTCCAACTTTCCCTTAACTCTCAGTATAAATTTACAAGCTTCCGACAGGTGTACTGCATAATGTGATCTTTTTCAAAACCTTCCAACTACTATCCTTACAAATATTTTTCAAATGCCTTTAATAAAGCTTATCCCTATTGAACTGAAAACACATTTAATTCCACGAAGCAAGTTAACGTTGACACTTACCAGTAAGAGGATGGATGAATTTCTCCAATGTCCTGGAAGTCTTATATATCAGTGCAGATCTACTAGGATGAACCAATTCGTCCAAAGGTTAGACAAAATCAACAGTGACAGCCAATGAAATCAAACTTTCCTCATTTATTGGAACAGAGCCCGGACGACTAGACTTAGGCAACATCTGGAAAACACTTCCATTAAGAGAAATGACTACTACAAAATAAATTTCAATTTATTGGCCCAAACACTTCTGATTCCTAAGTGAACAAATTGTTCTGAGATGGCAAAGCACCCTGGCCAGCTTTGACTGGTGTATTGAAACAGCAACTTTTAAAATGTCAAATGCTGGTATCCTTTCTTTTTTTTTTCTTCTTCCAGTTAATCTAGCAAAAAGTAGTTTTGAAACTTATCTAGTGTTAGCTTTTGGCATGTATTTTTCCGACCTTATATTATTAAATCAAATGTACAAATTTTTTCTAGAGTATTTTTGTTTTCACAGAGCTCAGAAAATATGCTCTCAGTTACCTACAGGTACATAATCCACAGGGTGGATTTTCTAGGTTCCTTTACCATGTAAAAACCTGCTTAAAAATTGTATCACTCCCTTAGTTCTTTTGTTTAAGCCCAGAAGTGTTTGCAGAAGGTCTTTTTAAATTACTAATTTAGCTTCCTTGCCACAGAGAACATGTAAACTGTCGGCCTGCAGAGCTGAGCCAGCTCGGCTCAAGGCTTCACCCATCCCGATGAGCAATGTCCCTGTTCACATCCTACCCGCCCGCCTAAGGCCTTGCTCCTGTCCCAGCACCTTTGTGACACCTCGGATCAGCCGCAGATCGATCACATCCGGAATCGTAGTCAACAAATGTCCTACATTTCACTGAAATTATTTATTCATCTATATCCTTCCCACCCCAACAGACTGTGATTTCCTCACAGACAGCAGCGTCTTTGTCTTAATTCTGTTCCCAGCATCTAGTCAGTGATTCGCCGAGGCTGCCTGACAGGCTCATCGAAACAAACTCTTGTCACCTGGGTTCCACCGTGTCACGTATTTGCTGGGTGCCGCGTTGAGTTATTACAAATGCTTTACGTTGAAGATAGCTCTCCACATGTTACAAATACGACGAAGACCCACAAATGAAGAACCTGTGACCCACGTAGGGACACACAGGAGCGGGAGCCAGAGCGAAGGTTCGCACCCATGTCTTTTCACTTCGAGTCCCATCATGTTCCCACTATATCCAGCTCCCTTTCGATCAAAGCCATCACTTCAGGACTTAACCATACTCCTTCACGTGGCCATGTAGCAGGTTCATGAGACTGTGACCTTGGGAAAGACGGAAATTGTGACATAAGCATCTCTTTTGTTCCCACAGTGCTTATTCTGGGCTAAATAAATAACGTACAAAGACAATTTAGAGACGATCTGCTCACCTCTAAGTAATTTCCTTTCTCTGGGAACTACCTCCTCCTCTTTAGGGGTATTACCCTTCTAGCCACTTTTATAGATGTCACATTGCCACACCAACCACAGCTGATAGGATTAACCTAGACTAAACTGGGCCAGCCAGTTCCCCTGCCCTGGCTATTTGGAGGTGCGATTCTGAGACTGCAAGTCCGTCTAGGTAGACGTTTATTGCATCCGTTTTTGTCCACGGTCCAAGGAAGCAGGAGAAAGTGCTTCAGAATAAAGAGGGGAAATGAAGCAGGCCCGCAGAGAGAGGCAGAGAGAGCTCTGGGTGCTTCTAGGTCTTGGCTACTCTTTGATCCTCAGGCCCAGATGCCTCCTTGCTCTGGATCCTCATGGCAGACTCCCCGGTTGGGGCTGAAGCTGGCTAAAGAAGCTTTCAGTTCCTTAAAATCACTAATCAAGCCCGGCTAGTGTGGCCCAGTGGTTGAGCGTCAATCTACGAACCTGGAGGCCCATGGTTCGATTACGGGTCAGGGGACGTGCTCCAGTTTCGGTCTTGATCCCCAGTAGGGGGCGTGCAAGAGGCAGTCGATTAATGATTCTCATTACTGATGTTTCTCTCTCTTCCTCTCCCTTCTACTCTCTGAAATCAATAATAATAATTTTTTAAAAATTTAAAAAATAAAATAAAATCACTAATCAAAACATAGTATATATTCAAAACACCGTACTGGATGGAATTAAACCGAATTCTCTTGGTTCTTAATTTTACTGAAGTCAAGAGGGGGCAGCTAGAAGCTTTGTAGCCTTTTCAAGCCAGACCTTGACAGTGTTCCCTTCTTATTTGTCAGAGACAGATATTCACACAGACACACATTCTTAACACAAATAAAAAATTGTTTTCTGATAATTGCCTCTTGGAACTATCCATACCCCTTTAGACAAGTTTATTATAATGATGGAAAATGGCATTCTTAAATTGGTTGAATACTCTGTTCCAGTAATACATATTCTTCAGTTCAAGCTCTAAGCTTGGAAAACTGAAAAAATAAAACAAAACACACACACACTGCTATGGCCAACTCAACAGCACATTCCCATTGTCATCAAATGTATTTTCTCTGTATAATTATGAAAAAGACCGAGAAACTTTATTAAATGTCAAGCTCCTGAGGTTTAACTTATAAATACCTGGTTTGTATAATTCTATCGGGTAATGAGGCTGTCTGGATAAATAGTTTGCCCCTAAAGCATGGAAGCATTTCAATTTTATCTTTTTAATGTATCTTTATAAACTATACTAAACGCTTCCTTCTGTGACTATTGGGCCATTTAACCTTCCTTGCTGATCACACAGCAATTGTTCCATTAGGTTCAGGCTCTCCCCTTGAGATTTATTTTTTCATTAAAGGTATTTTATTAACGTTCACTTAAATCTCATTTAATTGGGATAAAATTATCGCAGGATTGGTTTTCCGTAAGGGGGAGGTGGGGAGAGTAAAGAGGTGGAAAGGAGGTAAATAATATTAGATCTTCTACTCGTCTTCTGGGCACGACCTTCAGACAGTTCTCCCTCGTGAGCCTGTTTGTGTGCTTGGCAGCCCCACAGTGCTGCCTTCAGAGAACACTCAGTGTGCTTAGGGGTATTTTCTCTGCAGTAAATTATCCCGGACTGTGTGCCCTTCTGCTCGATGCACCCTGTCTCCATCCCTGCTGTTAGCTGTCACTTTGTCCTATAGCCAGTGTGTCTGTACCTAGTGGCTTCTCTCCACCTCTCCATGTCTTTGATGTGCCTCATTGCCTGCAAGCGGTGGCCTAGGAAACACTGAAGCATGAGGGGCAGAGCGGGGGGTCCGCAGAGGCAAGCGGCTCTTTCTTGCCCCAGTTTTGCTCCCAGTGCTAGGCTGGTGTACCCCAGAAGTGGAAAGCTCCTCTCCTCTCATTTGGAGCAGAGACCTGGATGTAGGGCCTGGCTCTGTCTATTCTCTTAGGGCATTTTCAGGTACTGGAAAGGGTCGTGGCTCTTTTTTTCCAGATGTGGATTAAAAGACTGACCATTAGTAAGACAAATATTATTGCATTTGTTTTTGGAGATAGTAGCAGCCAGATAAGTCCTTCTGCTCTTTTCTACTTTTCCCAGCTGCCCAGCTAGAGGTTACATTGCCCGGCTTCCCCTTCTGCTATGTGTGGCCAAATGACCGCATTTTCTCCAATGAAATGTGACTAGAAGGGATATGGGCAAGTTTCACCCTACTTTCCTAACAGGAAATCGCTTGACCTGGACTCCTTCCACCTTCCCGCAGGCTGGAAGGCAGACAGACACCAGCGCCCACCGTGCAGACAAGAAGGGCAGCCTGCAGGCAGAGTCCTTTACGGGCCACGCAAGCACTTCCTCTGCCTGGACTGGTCAGAGGGCTGCGTGAAAGGAAATAAATCTCCATGTAATTTGAACAACTCTAATTTGGGTTGTTTTTGCTACTTTAGCTTAGATGTTACCTTAACAGAAACCTTAGGGAATTCCCACATATTTATAGGACTCATATTCCAAAAATTGATTTGTATCCCACATCACCATGCAAAGGAATGAACTATGAGCAACGAGCTATTGGTATTGGGAAGGAAGGAATAAGCTATTTTTATCTGCAGATGATATGTGATTGTATATGGAAAAATCTCGAGGAATCTACAAAAAGCTTCAAAACTAATGAACGTATCAAGATCCTATGACACAAGGTCAATAGCAAGACTTGTGTCGAGACCCCTTTAGTGCATGAACTCAGATGTGTTGCCTCTTCTGAATGTTCACAGGATAAGAGCTCCTTCACTTGTTCATTCATTCAATGCTTTTGAGGAGCAAATAGTACTCACTGCAGCCCAGCCCTCATGTGATTACTGGGGACACATGCTGTACATATGCCAAGTAATGTCTCTGGTCTCTAAGATTTTTTTGTCCAGTCAGGGAGCCAAACATTTAAATCACTAATTCAAATCACCTGCGAAAAACAGGAGGCAATGTGGGAAACAGCTAGAATTGGTCTTTGGCACCAGTTGGACCACTGTTCCAATCTCAGCTTTGAAATGTTCTGCCTGGTGGGTTAATACTTTTCCTTTGACTTACCCAGTCCTCAGTTACCTTATCTGCAAAGCGGGAATGATAATTCCTGTTATAATTTGGCACGGCCGAGACGCATCGAAGATAAGAGAGAATTATATTAAATGTTAGTGACAGGTGCTCAATAAATTATAGGTATTATGATTGTGGCTGTGACTATGATTCTAGCGCTGTATACAAATTGCTATGGAAACCTGAATGAGGGCCTGCCAACTCCACCTGAGGAATTCTTCATGGAGGGCTGACATGTAACCTGGAGTCTGAAAGCTCCATGGCTGGGGACAGGGAAAGAAGACAAAGGTCATGAGAGCAGACACAATGACACAGCTTCTCTTTTTCATGCTTCTCACCTATGTGCTCTTTAGCTCTTAATAATCTGGCTTCTTCTTGCTGCATGGAACTAAACTGTAGAAGGAAAAAATGACCTTGTAATCATCCTAATATAGGCTTTTTCTAGTGGACCATTGTATTTATTTATTTTTATTGATTGATTTGAGAGAGAGAGAAACTT